TGATATGTTGACTTTTAAATAGTCTCCTTTTTATTTTAACTTAGTAAGAACATGTTACCAAGTTTAAAAATGAGGGAGTAGAGTTGAGAAGGCAGCAATAATGACAGCTGATACCTTGAAACTTGTCTTTCCCTGACCCTGGAAATCATGTAAAGATGAAATAGGCTGGGTACAGTTGAAATAAATAGATATGTATGATGTGCAGTTGTATCAGATTACATCTCAGTGATTTTGATAAAAGTAAGGAGCCCTCTTTTTGACTGTGGAAGAATTGCTTTCGTGCCCGTGAAGGGCTTCGTTTCATTCCCGAGGCCTGCGTGTCCTCGCCAGGGTTGAGACACATCTCTCCTGCTCATTCTGTATTTTGGTTTGGAAACACTAATACAAGTGTATCACTGCCACAGGATCGTGATTAGCATGTGCTCCAAGACGAAGACCTTTTGATAAAAGCCATCACATTGACAGTGATGAATAAAGTGCCTTTGATAAACAGTGATGATAAACAGTGGCTTTGAAAAACATGGTTCCTACACTGTTGCTCAAAAAAGTGTCTCTGGTGGGGAAGTTGCACTGAAGAGTTTCGAGGAGATGTGTCATGGGAAATGCAAGAGGAAGCCAGGGACACAGGCTCAAGCCATTTAGAGTTTCACAGGAAACTCTACCCTGTGCTCCTCCTGCTTTTTTCCCGGCTGATTGTTAGGTCTCTAACCATGGACTTATAATGGGTTATCATTCATGGCCCAAATGAATGGCTTTTCTTAACAATGATGCCCTTGTTTCGAGGGTTACTTGTGTACAAAGGACAGCCCATAAATAGATGCACTTGTCTTTCTGAGGTAAAATATAAGTTAGGCGAGAGTACAGTTGTCATGACTTTGGTTAGAAATTTTCCTGTTTTATAAAAATCAGTGTATTCCAATTGCTTCACTGTAGTTAAGCACATGGGTTCAATGTCATATGAAAGAATTTTTGCTTGGAAGTACATCAGTCTTTTCTTTCCCCATCAGTGTTATCACTGATGTCTATCAGAGAGTTTAGCAAAATATACTATTTATTGGTATGAGTTAAACTTTCATAGCTTGACCTCATTCATAAAGGTTTCTTATTTGCTTGTCTGCAGGAAGCTTCTGAGAAATAGAGCTATAGCTACTACAGAATTTTTGTAGATGACTGTTTTTCATAACATATCCATGTGCTCTTTCTTCACATCATTTTGAATGAACGGGGATTTGAAATAGTACTAGCTGAAGACAGTACTTTCCTCTCAGCCGGATGTCTGTATCGAGGTAGAACCGTAAATGGTAGGGAGAACTCTTGTGCATTGGAACTGCTGCTTCCCCGCGTGAGGGTATCCACTGGCTCTGTGCCTCTCTGGGCCCTTGAAGCTACACTGCAGGGGACCGCAGGGGACCACAGCTGCCCACAGCCTCACTGTTCTAGATGTTGACTGGGCAGCAACATTCACTGTTGTTCTTCTTCCAGGACACAAAGAAGAGCAGAACATTGCTGGTGGAAGAAAAGATTTCAGAGTTGTTCATTTTGATTCTCTAGTGCCTGTATTTTGATGCCAGTCCCCTCAAAATGCTATATTATTTTCCCAAATAGTTAAAAATTTCTGCTTCCAACTTTCCTTTGATCTTGATTCTCAAAATTAACCATCTTGTCCATTCAAATTGTTTACATTTCTGCTTTTGTTGATGTTAATTATTCCTCCGGTTGCAGTTTAATTAATAAGAGATTGCATCTCATGCATTCCATCTCTCAGAATATTGCTTCAAAAAACTAACCATCTAAGCTAACACTTAAAGCTTTACTCCCAAGAGCATATTTCTAGTGATATGGAATTTTAGCAATCAGATATGGTCATTAAATGCAGAAAGATCCAGCCTTCATGATACAGTTTTATAATCGTATATAATTGCACCATTCATCTTGGTAAAATTTCTAATGAGCTGTATGTAAACAAGTATATTTAAAAATTGTGATAGAAATCTTCTCATGGCCAAATGTTACCCCAACATTTAGCAATTCTAATTACATGGATAGATTCCATATATGAGTAAACAGAAATTAGCCCACCACTCCTTGTCCAGCTGATTTTTATCCATGCATTTCTATGGCATGCAGTTAATTCTCTACAAAGGTTTACAGCCTCCTGTAAATAACCTGGGGAAGTACTGAGTGGGGACCTTGTGCCTTTCTTGCTGTTTCACGTCATGTTTCAAGTGCATAAGTGAATTTGTAGAAAAATATCTGGAGTAATAACACTGCAGGCAGTGGCAGCAGGAGAGAGTAGCTATCTAGGACTGGCATTTGGGATGCAGTTGCTCTTGGCAACTGCGTGGTAAGTTCTGTCTGTATTTGGGGAGCTGTTTGTCTCAGTGGTTCTTTTAACTCTCTCTAGCTCTTGTGACCTTCCTGGATGGTTTACCTCGTTTCAGTTTACCTCTGCAATCCTAATTGCAGAGAATTTTATCAGAGAGAAGAACAATTTGAAAGTAGGAAGCTAGATGCGGGAGTTTCCTGAAATTTGTGTATGACAATTGAGAAGTTTCCCATAATCCATGGTTTGTCAAGAGCACTACTGGTCAAATGTGTTTGAAGTCCTCAGTACTGCAGCGCTCAGGAGTATGGTTGAAGAACTGAGCATCTTCAAATAAAATAAAATGTAGAAGGATTCCTCAGTAAAAAAATCAAGGCATATGTAAATCCTGCTTAAAATTTGTCCTAATTTTTTCTTGTTTAATCTTATGAGATGAGTTATACAGAATCTAGAAACACCCCCCCTTTTTTTTTTTTTGCTTTTTGAAGCAGTGAACATCTTTTCATTTAGAATGAAGATGCAGCAAAGTTTATGGTATCCAAGGAGCTGATAATCTAACACACCTGTTTTAGTACCTGTCCACCTACATACATTTGCTCTTTGCTGTTACCTCACATTAAATGCTTTGTAACAGATTTGAGATAGGTATGCAAATGCTAGCTCATGTAGTAATTGGCTCAGATTTTAAATCTCTAGATTTAAAATGATGGAGATCAATCGGGGAGAAGATACTATCACCTATGCATTGTGTGTTCTCTGTAAGTAACGATAGAAAATTACCAAGCAAACAGATTTTGTGAGCCTCTAAGTAACTGCTTCTTCTCAGAGTCTAGTATTTTCATATTGCCAAGCTGTCCTTTTAATAGAAATGTTATTCATAATTTAAAACGGCTGCAGAGCATAAACTTTTGTAGCTTTGTATTTTTGGACCGACTGTGGAAACAGGGTGCCAAGGAAATATGCACGTGATTTGTCTCAGTGAAGATGGTGCAGAAAGTCTTGCTGAGGACTCTTGTACATTTGATAGCCTGAGAATTTTTTTTTTGTTTATGCTTTACAATCTTATAGAGAGATGACTCAAAACACTTGCAAAGCTAATATATACATAGAAATTTCCAAAAATCTGTATAAGAAAATACAGCAATTTCCCAATAATACTGTTTGATGCAGACCTTTAGAAAATGACACATTCTTTGATTTCCAAAAGATGATATTAAAAAAATTATTGACATAAAACACAATCTGATCTTAGGACAGTTGCACAGTGTGGACTTCAATTGTAGAATTATTTTGAATCTCTAGCATAAATGAAAAATATATTTCTATTAAGGTGAATGACTCATTAAGTTGAAAATTAATTTTAAAAAGGTAAATGTAGAGATGGCTCAGGCATATTAGATTAATATTTTCTATGCTGATGTTTATGGAAAACTTCATGAAGATTTTGTAGTAAAAGAACTGTGGTTATAAGTTTAACCATGACCTCTTGATTTGCTCTGATGTAGACTCTGTTATTCCTATTTTTCTTCATTTTTGCTTTTCATACAGCTAACCTCTCATTTTATCTCACTTCAGACTGTCTCCAGCAATAGTTATGAGAGTAATCAGGACACTCATGCAGTATCCTTATTTTCCATATGAGAACGAGTAGACACTAACTAATATGTAGTGTATTAGAAGCAAGACTGCCATTGGAATTCATAGAATCCACAAAGCAAGTTTCTATTTTTCTAGGGAGAGTGACAGCTTAAATGTAGTAGGTAAACAGTTAATGTTTTGAGTGTTGAAATTGTTAGGACAAATGGTTTTCCTTTTGTCAACATGGTCCTTTAGAGTCCTAGAAATTTAGACATTAATGCATATTAATTATACACACACACACACACACACACACACACATATATATATACGTGCGTGTGTGCATGCATGCTAAATCACTTCAGTTGTGTTTGACTCTTTGCGACCCTGTGGATCATAGCCCTCCAGGCTCCTCTGTCCCTAGGGTTCTCCAGGCAAGAATACAATACTGGAGTGGGTTGCCTTGCCCACCTCCAGGGGATCTTCCCAACCCAGGGATGGAACCTCATCTCCTGCATTGACAGGTGGGTTCTTTACTATTAGTGCCACCTGGGAAGCCCATATGAAGTAGGTATTTGGGGTATACCCCAAAGCAGCCCATTCACTTCAGGGATTTTCTGTTAGTCTCCTGTTTTATCTGAACCTTCAGGAACATTTTACCTCCTATCCATTGTCCTTGTTTAAATATGTAAATAATGACTTCATTTATTAAACATTAAATGACTTTAATTTCACCCCAAACAGTGGAGTAAATTTGGTGCTCTCAGATGATTACTCTGCTTATCTTGTGACTTTGAGAACCACCTTACCTCTCTTGGTTGACTATGACCTAGCTGATCTTTATGCATCCTTCCAGCTTTAATATTTTTTGGCTCCATGACCCAGAACCACTATATTTCTTCTCTTTTTTTCCTTCTATTTTTATTTGTTGTCCTTACTATGACTCATCAGAAGTCACCAACAACAGTTACCCATGCCTGATTCCAGGAAATTGTTCTTTTCCTTTGGGGGGTACTTTCCGTCCATCTGCATTTATTCCCTAATGTTTTGATCTTTCAGAGATGACCCAGGATAAATATATTCTATGTTCCTCGCGCAGGTTGCTTCTCTGGGAGTCACTACCTTCACTTTATGCGCTCTGTGTATAGACCGCTTCCGGGCGGCCACCAACGTCCAGATGTACTATGAAATGATAGAAAACTGTTCTTCCACAACTGCCAAACTTGCTGTGATATGGGTGGGCGCTCTCCTGCTAGCCCTGCCGGAAGTGGTGCTCCGCCAGTTAAGTAAGGAGGACCTGGGCTTGAGCGGACGAGCGCCTGCCGAGCGCTGCGTCATCAAGATCTCCCCCGACCTTCCCGACACCATCTATGTCTTAGCCCTCACCTACGACAGCGCTAGACTCTGGTGGTATTTCGGCTGTTACTTCTGTTTGCCCACACTTTTCACCATCACCTGCTCTCTAGTGACTGCAAGGAAAATCCGCAAAGCCGAGAAAGCCTGTACCCGGGGGAATAAGCGACAGATCCAGCTAGAAAGCCAGATGAACTGTACAGTCGTGGCTTTGACCATTTTATATGGATTTTGCATTATTCCTGAAAACATTTGCAACATCGTGACTGCGTACATGGCCACAGGGGTTTCCCAGCAGACAATGGACCTTCTTAACATCATCAGCCAGTTCCTTCTGTTCTTCAAGTCCTGTGTCACCCCTGTCCTCCTCTTCTGTCTCTGCAAACCCTTCAGTCGGGCCTTTATGGACTGCTGCTGCTGCTGCTGTGACGAGTGCATTCAGAAGTCGTCCACGGTGACCAGTGATGACAATGACAACGAATACACCACAGAACTGGAGCTCTCACCTTTCAGCACCATACGCCGGGAAATGTCCACGTTTGCTTCTGTTGGAACTCATTGCTGAAGGAGTGAGCACAGCCTTGGGTTGGCTTCGCTTTCTTTTTTGTTTGTTTGTTTGATTTTCATACCCTGTGAAAGTTTTTATTCCTATTTTTCCTTACTGGGAAAAAAAATGCAAAAGAAAAACAAAAAAGAAATATTAACTACTGGTAGAACTGATTTTGCAAATTAATATTTGTGCTTTGAAAAAGAAGTTTATATTTAGTTATTTAAGAAGTATGGGAGGCCCATAGTTTTAGATCATTTTATCTGGTATGGTGCTAATATTTTATTTGAAAAAAAAAGTGACTGCACCTTAATTAATTGCTAACTTACTTTCATTCTTTTAAAAAGTATAATCACTGTATATTGGTTATAGCCATGTGATTTTGTAGGCTCTTTTCTGTTTGAGTTGTGATTGAAAGTATATTGTATGTGGTTTTGTGAGATGAGTTGTAGTAAGAAGCATTCACCAAGTAGCACCAAATAAATGACACTTTATTCTTTAACCTCATTGTCAATCTACTTTTAACCAAGATTCAATAAATATTTTAATTGCCTTAAATACACAATTACTGGTTTTATGCACGATTTCAAATCGACCTTATTGTTTTATAAATTCTATTTTCCTTTAAGGCTTCTCTAATAGCTCAGTTGGTAAAGAATCCACCTGCAATGCAGGAGACCCCCGTTTGATACCTGGGTCGGAAATTCTTGGGCTTCCCTTGTGACTCAGCTGGTAAAGAATTCGCCTGCAATGCAGGAGACTTGGATTCAATTCCTGGCTTGGGAGGATCCCCTGGAAAAGGGAAAGGCTAGCCATTCCAGTATTCTGACCTAAAGAATTCCATGAACTGCATAGTCCATGGGCTTGCAAAGTGTTGGGCATGACTGAGTGACTTTCACTCAGTTGACTATTTTCCTTTAAGGTGGGAAACCACTATGATACAAAGAAGTTTTCCTAACAGTACTATTTATATGTGTGATCCATAAAACTACATTGTATGTTTCAAAAATGTATTTTTAATATTCAGATAGAGATGTAAATTACTTCCAAATATTTAAAAAATATGAATAAATAGACAGCAGAGTAGGAAGAAACTATCTTTAAAAAAAAAAAAATTCACCTCTTAACCAGCATATAGAGCTACAGGTTTTCCCATGAGGAATTATGAGTGGAACCAAAGATGAAAAAACAATGCATTTGTCATCTATTTCATCTAAACACTGACCTCTGAAGCGCTATGAATTCTATGAAGTACTTTGAATTCTTATTTTTCTCCTTTTAAAAAATGAACTTGGTTTAATCTGTGACTTAATTCTTCAATAAATTACAGTATAGTGGAATAATAAAATATTTATGCATCTTGATTAAAACACTTAAATATTCAAGTACTACCTTTAAATTGATATTCTGTAAACTCCCAACAGAAAAACTAGTCCTCTCCATTTGAATTATATGAATCCCTGAAGGAGTTCACGTAAAAGCAATTGTATAGGATGCCTGCCACGTGGGACACACCCCTAATCAGATGGCAGAGGCAGTGACCTAGGTGACTCAGTGTGATGTTCATGTTGCTGTCCTCAGAAAAATCATATAGGGGAACCCAACTTTCTGGCTGGAAACTGCCCTGTGTGTTTTCTGCTTGTTAATTTCTGTACTATTTAATATAACTGAGTAGCACATTTTTTCTTCCTGACTAAATGTTATTTAAATCATTAAACTTTAGTGCTAGAAAAATTAAAAGTACTTAATTCAGACCACTCGTTTTCTGCATGAAACCCAGAATAACTAGATGACAGTGCCCAGAATATCTCCTTTTCCCCAGTCCAGTACTCCTCAAAGGGATTCTCCCCTACTGCCTGTATTTCAAAGAACTTGAGGAGGAATAAAAACAAGGCAGCATTGTTCCTCTTACAGATCCCTGTAATAGGTCTTTGGAAATGGGGGTGCCTGAACTAGGTTTTGGCTGCTGAGCAGATCAACAATTATCATTCCACAGTGTGTCTCATGATATTTAGTTGAAGAACTGACTTACTGGAAAAGACCTAATGCTGGAAAAGATTGAAGACAGGAGGAGAAGGGGACGACAGAGGATGAGATGGTAGGATGACATCACCGACTCAACAGACATGAGTTTGAGCAGACTCCTGGAGATGGTGAAGGACAGGGAAGCCTGGCGTGCTACAGTGCACGGGGTCGCAAAGGGTCAGACATGTGACTAAACAACAGCAACAATAAGTCAAGAAACTGATTGAGCACGTGGGATAGAAAAGATTCTGTGCTATGATCTGCAATAAATAAATGTAAATAAAGCTGAGTGTCAGACCTTATAAAAGCAGGTAGGAGTGGGCTGAGAAGAAAGAAATAAGACACATATATAAACAGGTATGACACCCACTGGGACTGGTGAGGAATGTGTAAAGTTCTAGGATAATTTAGAGAGAGCGCCTCAGATGAGAGGAAATCACGAATGACTTAGGATAACTGGAGGGGTAGGCTTTCAGAAGGAGCTGATGAAAGGCAGTGGGAGAAGTGAACACTTTAGGGGGAGAGAGATAACCGAGGAACAAGGCATCCCGGCCTGTGACTGAAGAACAGATAAACAGTCCAGTTAGGTTCCTATACTATGTGTGAACAGAAGCCTCGTGGGAAATCCTGATGAAAATATCTGTTTAAAACATATTATAGAAGGATAATAGCTTTATGGTTTTGGCATTCGAAATATTCTGTGTTCACGTGAGAGACCCCGCCCTCCCCCTCCCCACATTGTTGCTCAGTCGCTAAGTCGTGTCCGGCTCTTCTGCGACCCTGTGGACTGTAGCCTGCCAGGCTCCTCTGTCCATGGGATTGCCCTGCCAGAAATGCTGGAGTGGGTTGCCATTTCCTTCTCCAGGGGATCTTCCCGACCCAGGGATCAAAGCCACACCTCCTGCACTGGCAGTATTGTTTGTCCCCGAGCCACCTGGGCAGCCGCTCTTCCCCATCCTCATGTGAATACAATATGTACATTAGCACTGGGAAATGGGAGCTTCCTCTCCCCACATTCACACCGGTCCTGAACTAAACATTGTTTGGTAGGAGCTTGATTCCTCTGAGAAATACTTAAGATATTTCTATCAAGACATTTTATTCTCTGACCCTTCACCATCATTTAAAAAATGGATGGACTTTTCCCAGTTTTCAAGGATTCTCCAAGATAATACGTGGAGGTTTCTCCCTGGTAATTTGAATTCATCTTACATTTTAAAGTACTCTTTGATTACTTTGTGAGTTTGGCTTTCTCTGTTCTCTTTCTGGGCAGCATACCCCCAGTATACCTGATTATGGCTAACCCTCCTCATAAAGAAAGAGGAAGGAAAAATATTACAAGTTTCTATAATTTGAAACTCATGTTTTATGAGAGTTCTCTCCTTGTTTCTTGGGAATAAGAAAATATATGCTGTATTTCTTGGTCCCTGTCTTTTAGTGAAAGCAAGTGAGAAGTATTTATTGAACCCCAGTTTGCTTTGATGCATTAAAAATTTAAATTTTAAAAATTTTTTTAAAAAATTAAAAATTTGATGCATTTAAAATGTTAGTTTTTGAATTCAAAGCAATCAGCGTGGTACCTGTAATAGATTGGAATTACATTACTTCAGAGCTTAAAGTGATCTCAAAGTCTTAGAATATTAATTACTCAGCTCTTTCTTTGTATGTACAAAACTGATGTTCTGAGAAGTTAACCAAGTTACGCAAAATCACATAATTGGACCCTGGTTGAATATTGACTTAGTTTAAGAATTCTAAGAATAGATAGAAGACTTCCTTCCAGGGATTATAAATAATAATTCTTTTCAGCTTAACCAGTAGGCTCACAGCAATTTATGAAACACTCTTGATTAAGATATGGGACAGGATTATAAATAATAATTCTTTTCAACTTAACCAGTAGGCTCACAGAAATCTATGAAACACTCTTGATTAAGATAGGGGACAGTGAATGTTCAGTAACTACTTGCTCAATGAAACAATAAACAAATCTTTAAATGAAAGAACTCTCAGAAAACACAGTTTAGCAAAAATACGGGTGGAATACCATGACTGTGGTTAAGAAGCAACGACATAGAAAAAAAACAAGAAAATATGGTTTTTGTGTAAATGTGTTCAGCACTAATCAAATGACGTAAATATGCCTGGTGTGTGTGTGTGTGTGTGTGTGTGTATATGTTCTAGACAAAGTGTAAAGACTGGGTGCTACAACTGACTCTTCAAACCTCTCTATCCCAAATTTATTAAGTCCAGGTATCCTAAAATCCACTTTAGTTCTTTGCACATATTATGCTTTCAGTCATTCACTCCATTCATTCAGTTAAACACCTATCACTGACTTTGCGCAGTGGCAGCATCATAGCCAATGATGTGTATCTGTGGCACAATTATTGGTAATTGAAAACACCTACATGCTAGACACTATGCTAAATCCCAGGGACAGAATAGTGTGTGATTTAGATACAATTCAGTCCCTTTTGGAGTTTGCATAGTGTGCGGTGCCTAAACATAAGATTATTCCCTACACATAGATTATTCCCTCTATTGAGTATTTAGTGAAACTGTGAGTAGTGCTGAAGAAGAAAAGTTCAGGAAGAAAAGTTCTCTGAGAGTTTGTTATAGGGGCTCCTGACCTAGTGATGGCATCAGAGAAAATTCCCTTGGCGAAAAGCTCAGGAAGAGGGAGGAAGGAAGTGCATTAAGGCTCTGTGTGGACACAGACAGGTTTCCAGGTGGTGCTAGTGGTAAGGAATCTGCCTGCCAAGGTAGGAGACACACAGATTTGATGCCTAGGTGGGGAACACACCCTGTGTAGGAAATGGCAACCCACTCCAGTATTCTTGCCTGAAAAATCCCAAGAACAGAGGAGCCTGGCGGGCTGCAGTCCGTGGAGTTGCAAAGAGTTGGACACCATTGAGCAACTGAGTGTGTGCACGCGCGCGCGCGCACACACACACACACACGGACACAGACAGAGCAAGCCCAGGAACCAATAAGAACCAAGAGGCCTGGCATGCAAAAAGCAAAGGCAAGTATGAGACCAGAGTTTGTATGAAACAAATTGCTGTTCATCTGCAAAGGGTTTTGGTTATGTGTAGGTAAAATAACTTCACTTCGTCAATGTTAGACTGCCCTTCTGTGGTTCATGGGGGACTACTTATCACTGTGATTAGAAAACTGACTTCCTTTTATATTTAACATAACAGCCTCAAAATTCTGAGTCTTGATTTTTCATTATATTTCACTGAATTGTGTTTCCACACTTTCACCCCAAATATTGCAATATGAAATAGGATAATTATTCATTAATTGAAGAAATCATATTGGTATAAGTAGGAGATCATTGTTATTTGCTATCAAATTATGAGATCTTTGATTCCTACAAAGATCAAAGGAAACACTGATTCTTCTGGTGCTAAATCAATAATTGTTCATTGCATTTATAAACTTACAGAGAATTAGCGATCTTTTGGCTCCAGTGCTCAGAATTTAAACATTGATTTTAAAAAATAGTATGGTAATCAATCTCAAAGTG